GCACAACCATTCATCTAGTTGTGTGAAACCAACTTTGAAGGCAATAACTGCAGAATTCTTTTCCATTGAAAGGCATCTTGGATACTACATTAAAATATACTCTATATACAGGGTGTTTCTTCTTAAGCTTAACATATTTGATTATAAAAAAAAAAGGCGTGAAAAGTACAGTAGTGCGGTTTCTGCAGGCCAGTTATATGGCCAGGGGCACATAATATAGGGGGCTAATTGTCGGAGCAAGCCCAATTAACTAAAATTTGTTAATTAACTTTTTAATTTGTGTTAATAGATACACGGTTAACCACTAAATGAGTCAATATTAGAAAGACTTCGAGCACATGCGAAGCACGGTGGAGAGCTGATGTTACCACTTGTGCAGCAGTAGCAAGGCTGCCGGTACGATAACGCACCCGCGAGGTTTCTCCCGTCACTTATCCGAGTTTTCCCACCCCAGCCTTATCGTGCCTGTTGCAGGAGTAACTTTAGAGCACTACTGCATGCGCTTCCCGTGCGCTCGAAGGCTTTCTAAAAATTACTTATTTAGTAGTGGTTTTCGATTATGCTCAGCAAATTACAAATTTTCACCAATTAAAAAGAGTAACGAACAAATTTTAGTTCATTATGAGACTTATTGTGACGAATAAGGCTCTATATTATTGCCCTCTGGCCATATAACTCACCTGCACAAACTACATACGTGCAGCTCTCACGGCCTTTTTAATACAAATTTGTAAAGCCCCCCAAAAAAAACTCCCTGCACACGAGCCACTTTGTTGGTAGTAAAACAGTACCGTAATATCCCAAATAATTATCCAGCCCCCAACAGATAATGTAAGGATAATGTTTTTGTAAACACCGAAATATAGCTCATTATCAGTATTGGCAGTGCCCTAGCCAATAGTGACCTCGGCCGAAATGGGGTTCGTTAGCTACGGCGGGAGATAAGCAAACATTGCTGACTGGGAAGGACAGGTCTACGTTTTATTGCCCCTTATTGTAAAAACAAGTTTGGCAGGTCACAGGAAACAAAAATAGCAGGTTTTAAAATTTTTTCTTTACCCATACCGAAAGTTAGTTTACTCCTTATTTTGATCCAAGTTGCTGTCGCTTTTAGGTGGGCTATTTGTCGGGATGTTACGGTATGTACATGCACGTCCGAACTATTGACTGTATAACAAAATTTCAATGGAACGTTAAAGATCCACAGAGGTAGCCGACCTTCAATCTTTCGCCATGCCAGATGAATTTAGCACGTAAAGTTTCTTATAATTAAAAGAGGACAAAAAACGTGAATGCTTGCAAAGGAATACTACTTCATATAGTGTACTATCATTTGTACCAAACAGATCTACTAGGCACCTTAACTTTCACTTCTTTATCATATTTTGAGGCACGTGAGGAGAAAATGTACGCCAAAATATAGTGTCATATGACAGTCCAACACAAAAATCAAAGGACTATGTATAGGGCTTCTTTTTTACCTTCACGACTTACATACAGTTGTGCCTTCCTCAACGAGTCTAGATCAACCATGTTGAATTAACCTGAGACTGGGGTAGAGAAAAAACATCAACACATAGAAGGGAACACATCGTCCTGCCTATTTTCTGTCCCTTCTACGTGTTGATGTCTCCTCTCTACCCCAGTCTCAGGTTAATTCAACATGGTTAATATTCACCAGCTCGCCTGCCCCCTTACGATTTTTTCTGAGTCTACAGGTTTTCCCGCTCATTTTAATCCAAGCGACGACCAATTTAATCCCGGGGCCACTCAATTTAATCCAAGCGCCACACAATTTAATCCCGGGGTCAGTCAATTTAATCCACAATATATATATGCACTTATTGTGTTCAGTGGTCGTGTTTTGCTTACACATTTGGTAACTTAGAATAATTGTTTATACAATTTGAATTTTTAGGGGGAGCAATTGATAATTTGTTCACTAATGTGATTACTTTGAGTTACTAGTGCCACTATTGACGAGGCTTATAATTGATATGTTGGTTACTCCTTTTACAACGCAGCTCTTAGGCACCCGTTTCCGGCGTAAGCGGCGTCGGCGTAACCACGCGGTGCATGATGGTCAAATTCCCCCCGCTAAATTTAGCGGAAAATTTCCCCGCTAAATCTAGCAGAAAATTTTCCCTGCTAAATCTAGCGGAACATTTTTACTGCTAAATCAGGCGGAACATTTTCCCCGCTAAATTTAGCGGAAAATTTTCCCCGCTAAATCTAGCGGAAAATTTTCCCCGCTATATTTAGCGGAAAATTTTCCCCGCTATATTTAGCGGAAAATTTCCCCGCTAAATTTAGCGGAAAATCTTCCCAGCTGGATTTAGCGGAAAATTTGTCCCGCTAAGTCCAGCGGAAAATTTTCCCCCTAAATCTAGCGGAAAATGTTCACCGCTATATTCAGCGGAAAATTTTACCCGCTAAATCTATCGGAAAATTTTCCCAGCTAGATTTATCGGAAAATTTGCCCCGAAAATTCTAGCGGAAAAGCTTCCCCGCTAAATCTAGCGGAACATTTTCCCCGCTAAATTTAGTGCAAAAATTTTTCCCCGCTCTATCTAGCGGAAAATATTCCCCGCTATATTTAGCGGAAAATTTCCCCCGCTAAATCTGGCGGAAAATTTTTCCAGCTAGATTTGTCGGAAAATTTGCGCCGCAAAGTCTAGCGGAAAAGTTTCCTCGCTAAATCTAGCGGAAAATTTTCCGCTAAATCTAGCGGAATGTTTTCCCTGCTAAATCTAGCAGAGCAGTTGTCCCGCTAAATTTAGTGAAAAATTTTCTCCGCTAAATCTAGCGGAAAATCCTCCCAGCTACACTTAGCGGAAAATTTGCCCCGCTAAGCTTAGCGGAAATTTTTCCCCGCTATATCTAGCGTAAAATTTTCCCCGCTAAATTTAGCGGAAAAATTTCACGCTAGATTTAGCGGAGAAATTTTGTAGTGCCAAAGCGCGACACTTATCACGCAACGTCTGGAGCTAATAGGGTATTTTCGTAGATCATTTCTGCTGTCCCGAAACGCTCTCCGCAACCAGCTACGCTAGCCGGAACTCTACAGTCAAGGCCATCGGCGCGCCGGCGCAGTAGCGGCTTCTCCGTTGTGGAGGGCTTAGCGGAGGGGGAAACGCGGCCTACGAAAACTCCCTATTGACGTTCTAACGGTGCGGCACGAGCAGCACCGATGGGACCGAGCTCCGGGCTCGAACAGAACAGCACAAGACTGGCAGCGTTCGACGGTGCAGCAGGGCCGTCTCAGCGGAGCCCCCTCTTGATGATCTTTTTCAGTTTTATTGCGGTTATAAAGATCAGTTTGTCGATTTGCATCGACGGACGTCTTTCCTGAACCCCACAATTTTTCCGCTAAATTTAGCGGGGAAAATATTCCTCTAGATTTAGTGGGGAAATTTTTAAGCTATATTTAGTGGAAAAAATTTTCCGCTAAATTTAGCGGGGAAAATTTTCCGCTAGATTTAGCGGGGAAACTTTTCTGCTAAACTTAGCGAAGAAACTTTTCCGGTAGATTTAGCGTGGAAAATGTTCCACTAGATTTAGCCGGGAAATTTTTTCGCTAAATTTAGCGAGGAAAATTTTCCGCTAAATTTAACGGGGAAAACTTTCCGCTAGATTTAGCGGGAAAAACGTTTCCGATAAATTTAGCGGGGAAAATTTCCTGCTAGATTTAGCGGGGAAAATGTTCCACTAGACTTAGCGGAAAAAAAAATTTCCGCTAGATTTAGCAGGGAAAATATTCCGCTAAATTTAGCGGGAAAAATTTTCGCTAGATTTAGCGGGAAAAATTTTCCGCTCAATATAGGGGGAAAATTTTCCGCTAAATTTAGCGGGGAAGTTTTCCGCTAAATTTAGCGGGGAAAATTTTCCACTAGATTAAGTGGGAAAACTTTTCCGCTAGACTTTGCGGGACAAATTTTCCGCTAAATCTAGCTGGGAAATTTTCCCGCTAGATTTAGCGGGGAAAATTTTCCGCTACAGTTAGCGGGAAAATTTTCCACTAGATTTAGCGGGGAAACTTTTCCGCTAGACTTTGCGGGGCATTTTCGCTAAATCTAGCTGGGAAAATTTTCCGCTAGATTTAGCGGGGAAAACTTTCCGCTAAATCTAGCTGGTAAATTGTTCCGCTAGATTTAGCGGGGAAAATTTTCCGCTAGATTTAGCGGGGAAAATTTTCCGCTAGATTTAGCGGGAAAAATTTTCCACTAGATTTAGCGGGGAAACTTTTCCGCTAGGCTTTGCGGGGCAAATTTTTCGCTAAATCTATTTGGGAAAATATTCCGCTAGATTTAGCGGGGAAAACTTTCCGCTAGGTTTAGCGGGAAAAAATTTTACACTAGATTTAGCGGGGAAAATTTCCTGCTAGACAGCGGGGAAAATTTCCTGCTAGACAGCGGGGAAAATTTTCCACTAGACTCTGCGGGGCAAATTTTTCGCTGAATCTAGCTGGGAAAATTTTTCGCTAGATTTAGCAGGGAAAGTTTTCCGCTAGCTTTAGCAGGGAAATTTTTCCGCTAAATTTAGCGGGGGAATTAACCCATCATTCATCGCATGGTTACGCCAACGCCGCTTAAGCCGGAAACGGGTGCCTAAAAGCTGTGCTCTAAAAAGAGTAACCGACATATCAATTGAGCCTCCTCAATAGTGGGACTAGTAACTCAAAGTAATCACATTAGTGATCAAATTCTCAATTGCCCCCCAAAATTTCAAATTGTATAAACAATTGTTCTAAGTTACCAAATGTGTAAGCGAAACACGACCACTGAACACAATAAGTGCATATATATATATTGTGGATTAAATTGACTGACCGCGGGATTAAATTGTGTGGCGCTTGGATTAAATTGTATGGCGCTTGGATTAAATTGAGTGACCCCGGGATTAAATTGGTCATCGCTTGGATTAATATGAGCGGGAAAACCTGTAGATCAGGCAGAAAGATCCACCATCTTTCTGCCGGGTCTTGCCAACTTCCCAACAAGTACAAAAATCCCAACAACTTTATTCCCAGTTTGGGCATTGTGACTACAATAGATGAAAAGGTATAAAACAAGGCATATTCAATAGCCAAGTTTAAAAAAAAAAATAAAAGAGAAAAGGTCCTAAAAGATGGTGTAGAAAGCCATAACATAAAACATGTGTATACATATCTTAAAAACTCCCAAGTGGGACCATATGCTTCATCCAAAATCTTCTAAAGGTTCAGACTTGCACATGCACATAATTAAATGAATTGTTTGTAGGTTGGGTTCGAGTTGTTGCAATGTCCCAGCAGGCTCAGAGCTTTGCCAGGAGGGAACCCATGACTGGCTTGTCCAGGAACTCTTTCCACCAAGGAGCTCTCTGCACGCTCCCTGGAGAGTGAAGGAACGACTGGTACAGCTTCTTGTAGACCTGCAATCAAGGTGAGAAAGACCCACTCTATGAGTAAAGGGTAAAATTGTGTTGTGTGTGTCTGTGTTTATTCAGCAAGAAGCTAGTCATTCCTAATGAGCATTGGTGTCTCCACTATGGGAGAGAAATTTAGCCACTGCTAGCCTGGGGGTCTTTGACGTGTGTCACGCAGAAGTGATATGCATCTGCATGCCGGTACGATGGTCATCCAAATCAACACAGGCAGGGGTGGGGTTTGAACCAACGACCCCAAGGTTCCAGCAGTGCAAGCTTTTGTTCCATGTGCTCCGAGCTGCAGTGCGTTAACATGCTTGGCCACATATTCCCACGAGTAGAGGGCGCAAAGAAAATGTTTGTCGAGAATTGCACCTCTGACAGGGTGAGAGTGGTACCAAGTCGATCCTGAAGTTACCGTCAATCTTTAAATGCCCCCCCCCCCCCCTCAAAAAGAGAGAAAAAAATGAAAGCCGTTTACAACTCCCTGTAACGCCGAATTAGAGCGCAGCTCTTGAGGAGGGGGAGGGGAAGGTACAGAGAGGAGGCTATGCCCCTCCTCCTCTCCTGCTCGGCTCCCATTTAGGGGAAAATTTTCCACTAAATTTAGCCGGGAAATATTTCCGCTAAATTTAGCGGGGAAATTTTTCCAATAAATTTAGCGGGGAAATTTTTTCGCTAGATTTAGCGGGAAAATTTTTCCGCTAAATTCAGTGGGAAAATTTTTCCGTTAAATTTAGCGGGGAAATTTTTCCGCTAGATTTAGCGGGGAAATTTTTCTGCTAAATTTAGTGGAGAAATTTACCCATAATGCACCGCGCAGTTACGCCGACGGCAACGGCAACGCCGCTCAAGCCAGAAACGGGCGCCTAAGAGCTGCGCTCTAAAAACTCGTTCAGCAATGTGCATGCTTTGTTAGCAATGGACCTCTTGCAAGGTGCGCAGCGCCGACGGCGGAGGAAAAAGGGATGGCAGGAACTCAAGGTGCAACCGGTTGTAGCAGATGACAGAGGCAACCTTGGAGGGGATGGTGAGCGGGCGAAGGCAGGCGAGCAACTGTGCTACTTAGCCACTCTCTTCAGTGTCACGGAGAGGCAAGGAGCCTTGCCCACCCTCTGTGACACTAAAGAGACGTAAAGCACTTTGTGCGCTCTGTTCTGGGATTTTTGCATAAGGTCTATTCTAAGCAAGCCATGAGCACAAGGTCATTACTCCCCATACTTTGCTTCACCTTACGGCGGTAGTGAAGCCAAAGCTATAGAATGATCAAATGAGCATGTTGCTCTGGGAGGCATCTTAGCTGCATGAGTGAGAAAAACTGCCAAGGTACACCTGTAGCCTTAGTTTCCCTAGCATAATTCAACCTACAGTGCATAATCTTCTTTTGACTGCACAGGCATGCTCCCAGCAGTCATCTTTCAGAATGATCTGCTTGCACTCAAAGCTATCATTTACATGTTCAACAAAATACAAGTGAACCATAGTCTTTTTATGGTGCCTAAGGGTATCCTGAAGTGATTTTGAAGTTATTAAGATATGCTAGACTGACGTAAATACAAAGAAAGTGCTTTGAACTTGTTGTGTGAAAGGTAAACTGATAGACAGATCTTGAGCTATGCCTACGAGGCATCCGTGAAAAAACAAAAATTGATGCCTTATATCGTCCACACTTGACATATACACTTGCAACAAGCTCTTTGTCAACAAGGTGATCGAAACCGTGCCACTCCACTCCACTTAACGAACTGGCTCCCAGGATGCAATGTGTGCAGTGTTGAATGCAAGGATTTATGCAACCAGTCTACTGGTAAACTGCTTGCATAACAAGAAAGAATAAAGGGATGGACAACAGCTCACCTGTCCGTCGGAGCAGCCAAGGATGGAATTGAGGGCAATGTCTGGGGGAGCAAGAACGTCCACCAGGGCAACTGCGTCATCCTTAAGGTCATGGCACAGGCAGAGGATTCCTTCCCTTATCAGATGCTTGGCAGCCTCTCCAGAACAGTAGCCACCTGGGACACAGAAGAATGGTTCAATGCTAAAAGGGGTGATGGGGTTCTTGATTCCCTACCTCTTTAGAATGCCCTTGTCCCTGACAAAAAGTATAGAAGCCAAAGCAACAACCTAAAAGTCATTGCTGCCCCTAATAAACAGACAAATTAGTTACCGTATTTACTCGCATAATGAGCGCACTTTTGTTCCCGAAAAATTTACATATTTGATGGGGGGGGCGTTCATTACGCGGGGTTAACTTTTGCATTTACACACTTCGTACAAATGCCATATTAGGTGCCAATATGACATGGCAAGGTACTGTGGCACAACTACAGTGACGGATGTGCACCCACGGCTGGTCAAGGGCGCACCATAATAACCATGCTTTATAAATTGCAAACTTTTTTAGGGCGCTTTCGGGGTGCCTTTTGCAGAAAGAAAAGCGTCCCACGAAACTCACTCAGCACGAAAAGCAACACGACCAATCAGGCGATATATATTGCTAATATCCGGTGGGCATGCTCAGGTATAGTCCGTGACTACGCGTATAAGAACTCGTACGAACTCCAACCCCCGACCTCCGAAGCCTGCTCGCATGGATCATGTTTCGTTCACGGAGACAAGAACTCGTACGAAGTCCAACCGTCGACCCTCAAAGCCCGCTCGCATGGATCAAGTTTCGTTCACGGAGGGGCTACCAGACACCCTCAGCCTACAGCAGAGGGTGCACCTCGCTGTGCCGTTCTGTTACGGATTAAATAAACACATTTACCCGGAGTATATGAAATTAGGCCTAACCATTTTCACGATTTCACTGTCTGAAAGCGGACCACAGACGACAGCTTGTTTGTTGACGTCAATGCATCCGATTGGCGAAGAATGTCCGAGCCTCGGCAATTCCTCGACCCAAGCTTCGTTAAGTGTGCGCGACGACACTCGGTTTCAAGGTCGATCACTTTCGTAACTACCGCAACTACGCACTTGCGGCCATTACGAGAGCAGCCTGGCTTGGGTTGACTTGGCTTGACTTGGCCTGACCGCTCGGCGGCAAAAGAAAACTGGCTTGGTGGCTTGCTAAATTGGACGCAATTTGAGACTCGCGGATACGAAAATTGGAGGTGCGTTAATTACGGGAGGGGGAAAAAAAAGTAAAAATGTTGATGCCCGTTGTAGGGGGTTTGTTTATTATGCGAGTGCATTTATTATGTGAGTAAATACGGTACACCCAAATCTATGTACAGTCGCCGATCAATCTTTTGGACTTGGAGGGGATTGTCCTGAAATTGTCCAAATAATCAAGCAGTCCAAAAAATTTATTTCAGCCCAACATATCAAACTTCCACGCATATTCCGCTGCATACTGGCCACTTTCCACTTGCTTGATTTTAATATTAAGTTGTTGTGCAACTTCAGCTTTATTTTGTTCACTTTTCACTTGTTTGTTGATCTGTTTGATCACAATGCTGCACTTTTTCGGTGCCTTCGTTGGCGCCATTTGGCCCTATTTTTAGACAACATCTAATCTACCGAGCTCGGTTTAATACTAAGCCTATCGGCAAAAAACCTTCGCGGTCAAAGACCATAAGAACGGCAGATGGCAGCTCTTCTCGCGGTTGCACTCGAAAAACACGGACCGTGAGAAGAACTGGAAGAGCCATAAGAATGGGCAGACGTGGCGTAGCACATGGCAGCCATGTTGGCTATAGTGGAACCGGAAAACCCGAATATAGCCTCAACCCAGCTTGTTTATTGCATAGAAGTGGTATCGAGGCTACAGAGAAAAATCAAAACAACCAAAATGACGGTGACTAAGCTTGCAGCGCTATCGCGGTGGCTGTTTTGTGGCTGTAAACTGAAAAAATCACACAAATTATGTCCGAAATATTGAGCAATAAGCTTTATGGCATTCGAAATTTCAATCAATGTTATACATTAACTTTATGGGGTGAGTGACAGTTCGATGAAAACGTTTGAATAATCGGACGTGTCCAAGAAATCGGTCGGCGACTGTATCACAATAATAAGAAAGTTCAAGCTGGCCAGCTATTCAAGCCTCTAAAATGTATGATTTCTTTTTTGAAATATGCCTGCATATACCCTCCAATGTCCTGAGTCTTGTACATGTGCCCCCTAAAGCAAAGTCTCCCTTTTGCCTCTGCTCAGCAACTCTGCAAAAATTTTTTTGGGGGCGAAGCTCCTTAGGGTCTAGCCTTGTCCGTCAGGCATCCATGCTCACATCGATTTCCATCCCATCTGTCTTCTTAAAAAAATAAAATATTGTTTGTGCAGTCGACAGGATTCGAACCTGTGCGGGGAGACCCTAATGGATTTCTAGTCCATCGCTTTAGCCACTCGGCCACGACTGCGGGATGAGTAGGGGGCTCTGAGATGTGGTAGTAACTCAAGAGTTGGGGATGTCATGGATGAAACGTTGCATGTAGCCGCTCAACGTCTATACAGGAGAGGGCGCTGTGGTCAAATCCGTATATAATTGCGTTAAACTTTGCATGCATGGGCTCAATGTTTATAGACAAGAGGGCGCTGTGGTCAAATGCGTATATAACCATGTTCCATACCACACATTCTCCTTCTAACATGGATGAAAACGAACAAAGAGCTCGGCATGCTGCGGCTCAGCGTCTACGCACCACCAGAGCTTTGCCCCAATCAACATCATTCACCTTGTGGAGATGCGGTAATTCTTTTTTTTGCAGTATATGAAAAGACAGATTCACATATTGTAAATAACATGGACTACATCATTAAAAGTCACTAATATATGTTACATCAACCATTGTTCTGCACGGGCATGGTGAAGTGCACATTGCTACTGTACACCAGAGTAGAGACAGTGACGCAGGCAGAGATCTTTTGAATTTTTTTTTTTTTTTTGGAAGGGATGGACTGGGATGGCTGGGACCTCCATTTATCGGAGGGGGAAAGGGGGGAGGGAGGGAAGTGGCACTATGCATATCTGTAGCACCAAGTATACCCCCCTCCCCCTGACTACAGAGACAACCCGCGGCAGACTCACCTCCATAGAGGTCACCAAGGCGCTTCTCCAGACTCCATAGCCCGAACAGAGTGTTTAGCCGCTGAAGGACATTCACGAGTTGTGGATCCCTCAGGTCACTGATGAAGTTTTGAAACTTCTCTATGATGGTATGCTGAGAAAGAAAAAGCAAAGAAAACCAAAAAGCCCCATGATGTGGACATACACTCTTTCTCTGCGAATTCTGGGATAGTTGTATGGGCAACAGTACAATATAAAAATCTTCAGAACCAACTAGTGCTTGTCCTGTATACTTCTTGTCCTTGTCTTTTTTGTGCTATTTTATATGTTTAACTAAGATGAACAAACTAGCCCAACAATTAACATACCCTACCAACTACTATGTTTACAGGTATTTCATATTTCACTTTCAATGTCATATCCAGGGGCAGTGAAAAGATAGATGAGAATGTTAAACTAGAACATTTCACATAAAAAATGTTCAAATCAGAGACGAGCAGATTTGAAACTTGGAATTTAAATTACAAAAAAGAAACACGCTGAAATGCAATATCTTGCCAGAGTAGCATTATTTTAGGCTGACCTATCCCTGACAGCTAATAGGTTGTACTCTGGCTTCATCAAACAAGATACCAATGGCAATGAAAAACAAAATACAAAAGCTCCAACTAAGTAAAAAATATTATATAAGAGAAAAAAGTGAGCCTACCTCAATGTATGTAAGGGCCAATTCTCTCAAGCAGAAGGCCTGTGCATCGTTTTTTGCAGAAAACTGGTCTTGGCCTTGTGACAGAAGAGTTGAATACTTCTCTTCACTGAGTTTCAGCAGGTAGCAGACTAACCACTTGTAGGCAGCAAGGACCACTGAATCAGGAGCAATTGCCACATGGAACAGTCGAAACAAAAATACATTGCTTCACAGTTGACAACAAATAAAAGGGGCACTCAGAGCAAACATACAGACCTCAAAAACCCAAACCCCCTGAGCCCTAAAGAAAAGTGATTGTTAAACCAGGAGGAGGAAGGATTGATGAGGCTAAATGAAAAAGGTTATGCCTCAACATGGCTAGTTTAGGCCATGGTAGAATCTAAAGCCTACCAATGATCCCAAGCTAATCCTGCCATCCAGCTCCCCGGTCTGTGCTGGTTGTCAAAACCTCGTTGAGAGGGCAACTGCTTCCTTATGGCAGTATTGGTGCAAGAGCAATCACCAAAGGCGATGTAAGCAACTTCCCATCCGTAAATGTGAGGAGCCTTTGTTCTTTTCATCGCACCTTAAAATATAATTTCTCTCCAATTCAGATGTTGCAGTCTACTGTCAGCTGTGCCAATGTTACCGAGACAGCCTTTCTAAATCTTGGAACGAACAGACGCCAAACCATGCAGAACAAGCTGATGTTTACAGAGCAACATGGTCAGTGCAAACGTGACAATTACTCTTCTTAGCTTTTCACACATAGCATTCAGTGCCGAGCAACAAAGCTTTCCACTCAGGCTGGTGTCTCGCACAAGAAAATAACCAGCAGACCAAAAATGTTTGATGTCAGCCTTTCAGCTCTGAAAAAAAAACGAGAAACACCAAGAGTCACACGCCCGTATCAACTGGATAGCACTCCGTACATCAGCTCCTAAGGGCCTTCATGTGTGTGGCTCCACTTCGGAGCCACGTCTACGCTAGCTCTACGGCCACTAAATAAGTTACGCTTTAAAGTTTAGAGTAACGACACTTGAGTCATACTCGTGCCCAGAATCAATGCTGTCAGTCGTCGCCATCTTTTGCCAATGTGCTAGATGAAAAATGCAGAAAACACTTTCAACAGTCCAGTTCACTAAAACAACAGTGCAAAACGAAACTGTGACAATTCCCTAACACCGTATCTACCACTCAGAAGATTGCATTTCAAAACCGCCGCGTTCGCAGACGGCACCCATGCAGCTCTAAGCGCCCATCGGCCGCGGGCAAGCCAACAAACGTCACAAGATACAAAGGACGAATGACAGTCTTGGCGGCTTCAAACAGTGGGGGAAAAGAGTGCCGGCACTTTGAGCGTAGCATTATAGTGACTCTAACGAGCTCCACTGGGCGACATTGATCGAAAGATTAAAAATTTCGATAGCCAGCGATTCCGGCAGAAATGTAAATTAAAGTTCATCACACCGGCTGTTTGACGGGGCACAGCCGGCCCACCACTGACCGTTGATGTCCATCATCTCCTGGACCGTTGTGGCTGTGAGAACACCCCCCAGGATGGCGTCCATGTCGTTGATGAACTGTACAGTGGTCATAGAGGCCGGCAGGGGCTGGCCCGCCTTGCTGCTCTGCAGCATGGTCACTAGCACGTTGCTCGTCTGCTGCAGCAACACGTTGTTGTCCCCCTCGTACGTGCAGTTGGCATCGTTGTCGTTGCGTAGGTCTCCCAGTCCAGACACTGAAGGAAGGAGTGCGGATGAGCAACTTATGTGCCCTAACACACGGTGCTCGTAGCGATACTTAGCTCATCTTCTTTATAAGACTGTGAGGCAATAGACGTAATAAATTTCACGGTAACTAAGCCGCAACTTAAACGTGAAATTCAGAAAGGGCACCTGATGCGAATGTAACTAGTTAGAAGCTGACGGGCAATATCTGGCTGCAACCATTGCGAATGTGAGCTTTGCACACTTTGCCCACTGGAAGCAGAACTGCTGGTTTCAAAGATATGCACCGATAGGAAACCGAAACCTTAAAACACGTCCAGATTAGGCATTTTTTCTGCACATGTCTTATACCTTTTCAAAGTGAGTGAATTTCGTGATTTTCGACGACACATAGCAATTTCTAAACTGAAACCATATCTTTAAATTTACTAACTAAAAAGATCATTGCTCAAAATAATTGATAGCCTAATAACACCAAACATGATTCATTTTCGTAAATAGACCATTTGGCAGGGATTAATACAACATCCTTTCCTGTTTTGTGCAGTCTACTTTTTGCAAGAAGGATTTGGTGACACACTCTGTAGACTAATATTACAAAGGTTAATAGTATTGTAGAGGGTACTAGGGTACAGACATTACTATTGATAATGGAGACCAGAAATAACTAACTTTGTCATGAAAAAAGAAAAAAAGAAAAGTGCATGGTGCAGTGAACACAGAACAAAAGGATCTCAGCCTTCTCCTTGGGTTGCTAAAGCAGTTGTGGGCATGGTTTTTTGTGTGCTATATTCAATTTTTCTTTTGTACCTTGCACAACTCCTTTTATGCTGATTTTGCATTTTTTACATTTTATAACTTTATTGTGTGGTTTGTGTGAAACATCCAATGAAGAAAGCCTGTGATAGCTATGGGAAATTCAATCTCACATATGGGCTCATGTTTAATACATAACAGGACTTTCCCATGAAAAGGAAGTTACGAGATTCACATAAAAAGGAGATTACAAGAAAGACGTTCTTCCAGACAAAAAATCTTCACAGAACAGTTTGAGAATGGAGTGATCTTCCACTGAAAGATACAACAAGCAAAAGCCTGAAGGGCTTTGAAAATTCTATTTTAAATGTTTGAAGATTCTGTATGCTAAATAAGTCTTTGTTTGCTTCATAATTTTCAGTCAGTAGTAGCAGAAAAAAAGTATTTGTTGACAAGGTTTTTTGTTTGTTTTTTCTATTCAGTGCTATGTGCTGCACATTGCCAGATGTGCTCCAGATTATAAAATTCTCCTTTATCTTTTTTTATCAGTTTCTGGACCAATCCATTCAGTTATTGAAAGGGTCAACTTTACACCTGCTGTACTGCAGTGAGTGAGGCAACAATTCTACAAGCTTGCAAGCTCTTTGGCCTTTTGTGGGGGCAAATAGCATTCAGAAATAAATAATGAACAACATGCTACTGCTCACATAAGATCTCTGCACTGGGCACCAGATACGATAAATAAAAATATGATTAATTAAACGTGCCTTTATTAAAAGGTTCCCTCTGATCACTGGTCTGCTGACATAGGAGCTAGACAGGTAAGGAAATGGGGTGGAGTTGGGAGTATTGCAAATGTCTGCGCTTAGGTAGTGTTCTGTTTTTTGGCTGCAACAACAAAGTCCAGCAGATAGTCCAGGACTGCTCTTTGCGGCGCCGCGGAACGGTTTTTAGACACTAAACAGCCCGTGCAAAGAGCCCTTTGCACGAACTAAACAGACACCATTCCAAAAACCGATTTGCCTTTTCGCAGCCAAGCAGTGGTTGAGTCCCCACTTGCCTTTCAAGTAGCCATGGCCCCCACAGGCCTCCCGGCTCTCCTGTATAGCATCCCTGGCCAGCCAGCCGGCCTTGCACTTGGCCGCACAGGACAGGATGTGCAGCTCCACCCCTTGCTCGGACTGCAACCACATCAGTAGAGGAGTGTTGTGTACGGTTCTGGAGGCACTTTAAAGGGGATGTGAAATTATATTCGGTAGAAATGTTTCTCACTTTACACAAGCTTACTGGCACTAGTGGGACCCACATATTATCGCACGCAATGCCACTGACCAAGAAGCTTCTCTGTCACCGAGCGATTTCAAGGGTAAAAGCGGATGTTTTCTTTCAGTCTGTCTGCGCAAAACTTGATGTTTAAGTTGTGGCAATGTCAACCATGCAATCCCCAGGATTTCGTGACCAAGCTTTGCGATACCCCCGGCGACGATACTTAAATACTCATACAGGCACAAGCACTGTATGAGCATTCGATTTGGGCTTGTGACAATCAATGCCTCCGCATGCACGCGGATAGCAGATCGCTGCTATAACGGAAATAGCCAAACCTTAACAATGTGCACAACTCGGCGTTTGCCGTGTGCTTTGCCAACCTCAGTGCACGGCTATGATAAACATTGCCAGTGTATAATCGGCTCCAGGTCACGAAGCAACTTGTTCTGGTTAAGAGGAGGGGGTGAAATGCGTGTTTCATGGGTTGTGAATGTGTAGGAATAATTCTAAACGGTATTTACTGAAAGTAAAAAAAAATTATTGCATCACCCAGGGGAGCCCAGGCGGTTACTGAGCTACCCGAGCTAACTACATTTTCAAAATACCCGGATTTAGTTTTCCCGGCACGCCCTTCCTTATCTCTAAACTCAAAATGGCTATAGAGAAAACGTAAAATGAAGGTTACGCCAAAACCAACATTGAAAGTTTCCCACGCTTTCTCCACGAGGTGACGTCAGATGCTGCGAAACTTGCAGTCGAGGCAGTAGAAAAAACACAGTATGTCGCGCATCTTTTTTGTTCTGCTGGAGTAAGCTTCCCCAGCATTTTCTTTTTTCCCCCGTTAACCCCTTGACACTTGTCGGGAACAACTTTTACAGCCCAAATTACATGGATGGATGAATGGATGCTAACGGCTGTACCCTTTTGTAACGGCCGGTGGCTTTTGCCACCCTAGAAATTAAGATTGATCCTCCCTTCGCCCTTCTAAGCCAATTTGCTTTCCCCCTGCAATTTCCTAACTATCACCAGGCGGTGTGGGATATCACCAGGATGACATGGACGACCTTGGTCGTTCTGTTTTCAGTGTTGCCAGTAGGGCCTTTCAGCTTAAGGAAAAACGGTGAGGACCAACTCTAAAAATTCAACTAGTTTGCGGAAAAAAAAAAATGTTACGTAAAATAGGTTACTAGTTCAATTGACGTCCTAATCCAATATAAAAATTTTGCCAAAGCTACCTAGTTCAACCGTGTCTATTAATGTCCTGAACCAATTCTGAATCATATCAACTGCCATAAAAATTTTGCCAAAGCTACCATCAATCAGCTACCATCAAAATTTTGCATTTAAATGTCTTTCTCAAAGTAAGAACTGACCACAATACTGGCCAAGACATATGAATGTCAACCTGCCTGCCAAGGTATAGAACCTTAGCCTACCTGTTAGTTTATCTGCAGTGTGTGAGAGCAGGTTAGTAACAGCAACCTGCAGTGTATAAAGGTTTAAAAATTTCGATGCGGCCATCAAGCGAATGCTGTTCAATTAAACACTCCAATAAAGTTAGGAGTGCCGTTGCTAATTAAGTGCAATTAGTGAACAAAAGTACTTTTTCCTAAAATTAACATAAGTGTACTACTATACATTAAAGCGTGTGAAGTATAATTATTTTTATTTATTTGCTATTAGACATAGGTAACATCTCAATGTTGCTACAAATTTGCTTCGATGACTGCTACAGATGAGACAAAATTGCAATTTTTCTAAAGTGCAAGAAACAATGAAAAGACTCGGTGCTTAAGTGTAGAGATGCATTCCTATGTCATTTTTATGCTGTTGCAGAATAAATACAAAATTTCTTACCACCTCCGGTGACTTCTCACCAAACATGACAGCAATGTGGAAGCTCACAAAATCCTTGTAGAGTATGGCCGAGTAATAATTCATCACATATGCCGCAGCAAGGAAAGGTATGAGCCGCCATTGCTGAAAGGAAGAAAAAGCACACCACTTGAACCGCTGCATGTCATGTTTCTTGTTTGCGCTAGGGTGCCTACATGTTTCCGCTCCGCTTTAGGGTGGCGCCAACTTCTTGTTACCCTTTCCCAGATCCTCTCCCACCACCATTTTGACCCACTTCTTATTTGGCTAAACGTGCACAACGTTGAGTTTTCGTAGTTTCGACACACCGGCAACACTGTGAGGCCACTTCCGTTTCCGTTCATAAGAGGAGTCGGACGAGTCGGAGGCTCAGCGGGATAGCGGTCGTCGTGGCTGTCGCTCTCTTTATTCGGGTGTTTCATACTTTGAAGTTGCAAACAGGAAGTATGCGTTGCGTTTATCGAAACGTGAGCCCCTCGACAAAATGGAACGCAACAGACCGGCATCGCACGCCGAAACCTCGCCGTCGGAACGAGAGCGGTGGGCGCTCCCTAGCCCTAACGAGGATTAGCGGAGTAGCGCGAGCGCACGACTGGCGAGTGTGACAAAATGGTCGACGAAACAGCGGAGGCTGCCATGGTAACGAGGTAGGCAACTCTGGTTTGTCGGCAACAGGTATCACAAACGTTGTCGCCACCCTAAACAGCGGAGCGGCGGGAACATGTAGGCACCCTAGTCTGCGCTCTTCAGAAAGAAACTGCACCCTAGACCTCCACTTTCTCGCACAACATTGCATTGGTAACAAAGAATGTCTAGGTCCACGTTCGCAGGGTTTGGGCAGCTCTCCACTCGGAGCAACAAAAAAAAAATCCTCAGCTTTCCGTCACAGTGGGCGAAGAAGTGACAGTGATAGCTGTTATTGTGCATAGTGACACCCACTTTAATGCATATCCACTACGGTGTAAGAAGGCTCGGGTGGAGCAGTGGCATTTCCAGAGGTGTCCAACTTTCGTCCCCAATTCTTCTATGCACCATCAGACGGTCGTTGAGGCCTAAAAAGGCATCTGCCACGTGGGCGGTGAAATATGCAGCGACTGTGGCAAAGCTTTGCATGCGCTAAACTGAATGTGACTGTTAAACATGGCACATTAAAGCGGCGGTGGATATTCTTGCTGTTGTGCAAGCCTATTAACCGTTCCAAAGAAGGGCCAACTATTTTAGCGTGCGCTCACCGGGAAAAAGCCAAGTGAGCACACTTTGCCTAACGTCATGAGGTGGTGCAGGCACGAACGCACGTGAAACAAAGCTTTCTGTCTGGCACGACGTCGGGGCCGAAAATGCAGCTGGGAGGTCCCTATAACAGCTATAGCCATAAAAGGCTGTAACGGGACATGGTTGCTTTAAAAAAAAAGCCACACCTGGAGCTGGTACTCGATGACGGGCAGTTCCTCCTGGTTTTCCGGGCCGAACTGCCTGCGCACGGCAGAGTAGCGGATGGAGATGACGATGCCTTTGATGAGGTTGGTGGTGCAGATGCCCACAATAGCCACGCGTCCCATGGACAGAGAGCCCAGGGTCATGCCAAACCTCTTCTTGGGGTCCTGCAGGGGGCACCAGAGTCTGCCTCAGAACTATCGTAAACTGTTTCAAAGGGTTGTTCATGTGCAATAAACCCATCTTAATTTGTCTCCCTTTCGAAAGACAACTGCATTCTATCTGTCATATGTCTGGTACCCTACGTACCATACCAGGTACTATAGTAGGTGACGGGTTATGAGTTCAGGGGAAACTCTTCCGACCTCTTTCCAGAACAAATGTTGGAGAGGAGGTTGCCTCCTCTCCAGCGTTCACTTTGCTAAAGTTGAAACAGGAGAGAGGAGTTTCCCCTGAACTTTTATCTTGCCACCAACTATAGAAGAGAACTGTAAAGGTTGGACAGATTTGGGCTACTATCAATGACAGTGACGTTTTGCTACTAACTACGGATTTCAGATTTTAAAGCTTAAAAATGTGGTGTGCATGTTTTGGCTGTCATTAAAACGAGGAATTTATCATTGTGCGAATTCATATATATCTGCAGGTTTACCGGAGTTTCCATGTATGGAGAATGTATTTTAGTCAACACGACCCAAAATTTGTTCTCATCATTCTTACTTTTTTTTTGGACCCTTACACGTTCCGTGCAAGAACTATAAGAGGGGTGCTTCGAAAAACGTGCGTAGCACCACTAGTGGAGGAGCCAACGTTCAACCGCGAGATGCAATCGGAAGCCTAAGTTGTCTTTTTAAGTGTGAAGTGAGGGTATTGAAAGTGCGGTTAAACAAAACTTTGGTTCTTGGAGCCGAGACGTTGGGGGTGATGTTGCACGAGGACTTGGGCAGACTTGCAAGAGCTCATCTAGCTGCTCTCCACCGCTTACCTATCCCAGAAAATAAATTTAACATCTTTAATAAATCTTACGTCGAGAAACTTACGGCTTACGCCGAGAAACCTTGCCGGCTTAGAAGGTGAAGCCACTGGACTTTTTCACAAAATTGCACGAGGATATCATATCCTGAAATTAATTTAGTATGAATCTATGGAGTTCAGGGTGGAGAATAGAAATCAATATGATTTGAATCATGATTTGAGTCACACCAATTTCATCATGATGATCTTTGCACAAGAACATCTCTCACAAAAAGTACTTTCCCGCAAAACTACTCCAAGAAATATGCTTTTACTTATTGCTTCTCTGTCATTGGTAGCTGTTCATGCACATTTCTTTTCGTTTAATAAAAGAAATCAAGCAAAAAAGAAATGTATAGTAGACTGAATACAAGCGAAATGTGGTGCTCTTCTGCTGATTGGAGAGGTGAGCTTTGATCCTATCTTCTATTTATTTTGTCACTTACAAGGCAGTTTATGCAAGTAAATCAGAAGGCAAAGGAAACAAACAAAAACAAGTGTGTGTGTGTGCAGAAATGCACACAGACCAGCAGACAGAGCGACTGAGAGAGGACTAGTTGTACACGCAAAGTTGACCTTGCATTCGCCGGCATATACGTCTTGTCTTACTTGAGCTTGTCGCTTTTCTGCAAGATTATATACCACTGCCTTGCACACTTAAAAACCAAAAGAAAAAGTCAGTCATTAAACAACTTACAAACTGCTCGAGTTCAAAAGCCATTATTCTATGTCATTTAATATTCTTTGTTGCTTTTCCTGTTTGGTACTGCTCAAAGGCCGTTATTATTTGTTTGGAACTGGCCTCAGAAGCAGTGGCAACAATGGGACCGTGTGTATGAAGCTAATGGAAAACAATTTGGCGGCAAGGAGCGATTGCCCACAGTGTTTCCAATAAACTTCAATATGATTCCTTCTTTGCTTTGCTGAAGCATTACAGCAAATAAAATTTTCTCAATAACCAGATGATTAAAGCCCCTTTTTTTCTAGTATGGGGCATTTATATTAGGAAAAAAAGTTTTGAACTAAGCTGCACCTTACGATATGATTAAATTTACAGTGAATTTCTATATTGCACAGTTTTCAGTGATCGGGCGAATTAAAGAATCAACTTCCTGTGTTTAAAAAGACAACTAGTGAAAAACAAGTTACTCCTTTTGAGGTAAAATGGTTTAAATATTTTATCTTTGATTTATCTTTGATTTATATTTAAAGAAAAAAGTGATCTATACAATTTTTTAGCAACTATTTCTTTTCTTTTTTGACTGAGCTGAAGCCGTTATTTTGTATTATTTTATCAAAAACAATTCCGGTGTTTTGATCTGCTGTCGCCTGTACTGCTTACCGGCAATCTGAAATGTGAAAAAAAGTCAATTTCCACGTCTCAAAGAAAGCTATCAAAGAGAAAGCACACCTAAACTGCCAAATTTAAACGTTGATTGTCCAGTGATTTTAAGTACCATCATGTGATACTGGTCCAGAAATATCAGTGACACGTGCAAAGGGGACGAAACGTCTTTGGAGGGCATCCCTCCAACAAAACGGGCGCTGCATGTCTGCGGGTGTGGGATGGTATTCCAGTCCGTTCCATCGGTGCTGAGACACGTAGGCGTTACAGGCACAAAAACAAACAAAGCGTGCGAAGCAGCAGCGTATAATCTGTTTGCCGTGCTGATACAGTGGCACACGCGATCTGGAGACCAAGCTTCTGTCGCACGGTGCAAGTCCATCACTGTCACTGAACCACACAATCGGCGAGTAGAAAAACTATGAAATGTCATCCCCACTATTGAAACACTTAACGATGCAGCAGTTCATACTGTCAACCCGGTGCAACCGCACTGCTCCGACCTCAATGCGTACCAATGTATGCAACATGGTTTCGTTTCGTTGGGGCACTCGCAGTCTACCTTCGGTAATGTATAGTTCCACATTCTTTTTTTTACAATGGAATGCAGCAGACCGAGACACTTTTTTCAGTCGGTTGCCTTAATTCTTCTTTTAGCTTGGGGTAGCTCTCATTCCTCATCACTCTAAAGTGAACTCAAGCATTGAGGCTTTCACGTCAAACCATTGAAGGCCATCTGGCATGCCGAAGCAAAGGACTGAGAAAAACTAAACGCCTTAGAATAGAAGGCCCCAAAGAAATAGGGGCTCACCACCACGCATACGCCAAACCCAAACTGCATTTTAGGTTTTGGGTTGGCGCTTGCCCCCAATGCAAAATTTCAGAAATAGCATGGGGCCCCATCGCCCCATTTGCTTGGGGCCGGGTTGCGTCAGCTAATATGGTGGCACCCTTTCCACTCGCTTCAGAGCAAATTCGTCATGGTTGCTGCAGTATTAGCCACGTTCATTGACAGTTAATGGTGCAGCTGGCTTTCGCTTTGTTTTATATCACTCAAGTCACAAAGAATGAGTGGTGGGCTCGACCCATTTTAAAGATTGTCTCTTAATCTGGCCGTTCCTAAGCCTAAAGAGACATGGTAACCGTTGACATGGCAACGTATAGCTACTCCAAAGCTCCGAGTGGATTTCGTTCGGGGCACTATACCTGTAGCTTAAAAACAAGTCTTCCAAGGCTTCAAATTCGCTCCAGCTTAGATCTAAATAAAGCAGCTACTTGCACAGTGTGCTTGCTTGCGTTCGTCTCAGTTTCGGCATAGTTGAAAGCCTAAATCTTTGGGAACAGACGGTCAATGCACACACGAACACGAAACAAATCCGAGAATGAGCGCCAAATGAGAGCTCTACGGATTGGATTGTTTTGGCTGATTACGGCCAACAACATTTATACTGATTTTTTATTGTCCTTTGTTTTAGCCGGGTTGATAGCAATCGCGCTTTGAAGGTCTTATCTTTGTTTACCTTTTTCTTTTGCTGCTTGAATTTAGTGAGGTTTCTTTTTTGTTGCTTGCTTAACTTTATTCTATGGATCGAGTTTTTTTTTTATGCTGCTCGCTTTTTTTCGTTTTTTTTTTTTTCCAAATTATTTCTGTTTTGTTGCCGGCGCTGTGTAAACGATCGCAAATATCGTCCCGTAAACGCGGCAGTGTTTGCGATCTTTACCAACTAAGCTCTACTGTATTTAGAGGCTCTATTTGGTTCCATTTGTCGCGGCCTTCGGTATTAACAGACGCACGGAAATTTCAACTGGATCTTAAGTTAACATATTTTTGTATATCAAATTGGCAATAAATCGAACTATTTTACGATCCCCTTTGAATTCGATATATCCGGGTTCGACTGTAGAAAGTTCAGCATCATGGCCCTCTCATCAAGGAGGTGTTGGTTCTATACTGCCTGGCACAGGCGATATTGAGAGGCACTATAGAACACACACTACAGCGCACTACTGCTACGTTAACGAGATTATATAACATTCTGTCAGCCTCCCAGCCATTTGCGGCGCCTCTCACTTTGACGGGGGTGACGTAGCTGCCCTCCGGAGTCACGTCAGCAGTCCTGTTCAGGAGGTTTTCTCGGGGCACCCGGTACTTGTGGAAGGAAAGAAACCTGCGAAGAGAGGGCTCTCGTTTAACAATGTGTGAGACAATCTAGCCAGTTCTTATTTTGCACAGAATAAAAACACACATGGGATAAAACGGGTCGAGCGCAGGTTTTTGTTGCATTAGTAAGGGCTGCACATTTTTGCCATTTTTTACATTTTTAATTTGTTGTTATTTTTTACACTATAGTGTACAAACACCTACAAATACACCACAAGATCTGGAGGCCTTGCAACACCTTATGAGTCGTGTTTCTTCTCGGCACAAGGGAGTAAACACCCACTCTTCCAGAATTTCATAAAAATGTGAAGTCACATATCGGAATCACAAGAAGTGGATGTTAGTGGATGTTCCCAAGGGGGATCTGTGGCCGAGGCTGTTAGTGCACTGCAGCTCACAGCATTTGAAGCAAAAGCTCACGCTGCAGAGCCCAGGGATCCTAAGTTCAATCCCCACCCCCGCTCGTTTCAATCTGGGCAGACGTCATACCAGCGTGCGGTCATGCATCACTACAGCATGATGCGCATGAAATACCTCAGGCTGGCAGGAATACTGCACTGGCTAAATTTTTCACCTACAGCAGAGACACCAGATGCTGATTGAAGGCTAGCTAACCTCCCGCTAAAACAGCGATGGCGCAGGCGAGCTGATGTAGACCTACCATTTTCTTAAATCACCCAAGAATGGTTGGAGAACAAGAAGAACCGAAAGTAGAAGATGCATTGCCTTCTGTCATTTCGTTCCTTTTTCTTCCACTTTGGATTCTTCTCGTTCTCCACCCAGTCTCGGGGGGTTTAAGAAACAGACCTCCACATGTCCATCAGCAGCCCAGATTCTCGAGTACAACACAAGAACATAGCATTTCAGGGCTCAAAAGGTGAAAACATGCATGCAAAATATGACCAACAGTGGTGTCCCCTTCCAAGCAACCACTGCCAACTTCACAGAGACTCTCTCACCCGTTGTCAATGCCATTCAGACCGAGCTTGGGTCCCATGTCTCCGACCATGACACCCGGGAAAGGCAGGAGCGTCTTGCGGTTCCTGATGGGAACCACGAAGGCATGCAGCCCGTGGCATTTCTCGTCGGGGGTGTACAATTGGGCAAACAGGATGGCGTCAGTGGCGGTCTGTCCCATGTTGCCGGACCACACCTTGATGGCCTCAATGTCCGGTGTGTCCAAGACAAACTCCTACAAAAGCAAAATCGGTGTTGCTCGCTTAATGGCACTCTTTCAATCCTCAAACATTTGAGGAAGGCTAGGTGCATTAGTAAGTAGGTTTTGAGTGCCATCTAATGACTGTGGTCATTGTTATTTGAAACCAGAAAAAACTATTATTTGCAGAGTGGCAGCTTGTTTACACAAGGTAGACCAAAAAAACTATAAAGATATGAAACAGTAAATTGACGTAGCAGGCTCAGTGACAGTTCAGGTGCTGCTAATTGAGGGTGCACCATTTAAGAAAAGCGTGTGGGTGCACTGCCATAACCATTCTTTTCCATTTTGTGACATTTTTAGTTTTCAGTATTATTGCCAATAGTGCATACTCTAGAAAGATATGGTTTCATTCCTTGTTTAATCCCTTAAAGTGTAAGTTCAGCATTAGTGTTCTCTGGCCTCATAATGAAAAAGATTTAAGGATTCTTGTTTAGAATTCCATTGGTTGTTTTGGAGCGCATCAAGATAGACTTTTTTCGAACGCGCTTATTTTACTGGGCGATCGGGATACAGAAAGACGTGTTCCACTCGTCATTTTATATCAGCTCCCACTCGATATCTTGATCCGGATCCGAGAAAAGTCGCTCTGCCGATTTCGGCAGATTCGGCCGTAAGCATCCTGGCCAGCCTTCGGCGCGCACACGTGACTTCCTTTCTTGACGGGCATCGCGCATCTCCCCTCGGAAGAATTCATAAAGGCTGCTCGCAAAGTGCTGCCCGCTTTACTGCTGCTGCTGCAGTTGCTTGAGCAGCTCCTCCAGCAGCAGCGGCTTGAGTAGCAGTGACGCCGAGGATCGCTAGTGTGTCCCGCATGAATTCGACTGCCTTTTCGGACCTCCGCAGAAGAGGCCAAAAATAGAAATGTATCTGAACACCGTTCACGAGTATTCTGAGGAAGAGTCAAGTGGGCTACGCTGCTGCACAGCACTTATGGACATGCATCCTTCACATCATGATTAACTTCTCTCGTGCATTGAACACGTATTGTTAGCTCCGCAATCACGAAATCATGTGCTTCGAAATTTGGGATTGTGGGAGGGAGTATCCCGGGAAGGTGAATGATGGGAAGGCATCCGCCAATCCCGGAAAAGTGGTCATGTTCCATGGAGGAGCGATCTGGAGGCGGAGCGACTCCGTTCGGATCCCATGATCCATCTCGGATATGATCTACTGATCCCGGCGCGCTCCAAAATAAGCAGTGGAATTCGCCGTTAGACTCTCACAACTTGCTAAATGGATTCTTACACAACAAAATGAAATGAAAAGTTTCATCTATACCCGTTTTCACCTCAAGAACCACAGTAAAACAAGCCCGGCTTCTCGCGGAGCATTACTGATTTCCCCTTTTATGTAGAGAATTAAGACATACGCAGGTGAATTGTAGATTATATATATGTTGTCTTAGCAAGACGTTCACGTTCCAAACGCCAAAAGCCTCGCGTTTTCCTCAGATAACCGAGTCTCGTAAGAACTACTTCGCGCCGCGCATGAACAATGCGCAAAACTTACTTTTTTCTTGACGTGAAAACAGGTATAGTCTAGGAGTTTTTAAACCCCGGTCCGAGGGCCAGATGTGGTCCACAGAAGCCTTCAAACGGGCCCTTAACTGGCCGCAGTCCTTCAAAAGAAACCCGGCCCATGGCCCGCTTCCACCAGACTTGCTGCTACCAGCGCAAACTTCAAGTGTGCATAAAGAAACAGTGCCACAATGCATTCGAAACGTGAAAAGGTACCAGAAAGAATGAGAGGAACTGCTTTATACGCGGGTCCTCTTGCCCATTATTCATTGAACATTGTAATCATCACAATCACTATTCTTTGTCCCGTGCTTCATGTCTGTGAAACTATGCTAGAATTCCTTTGCATATTCACACGTAAATAATGCTTGGTGTCTTCTGTCAGAACTATTGCATAATGTCGGCATCAGTTTTATCATTCTCATTAGTATTTTTCACTGAGCAAATGTGCCAGAGTTCTCATGCACTTTGATTTATGCCTGGTGAGTACGGTATTCTTCGTCGCAATCGTTGTGTAATGGCATAATTAGCTAAATATTGAATTCCCAATTAAGGTTAGATGCAAACCTTAAACATTTTATTTTTTTATTTTGCTGCAATATTGACTTTAGTGTGTAAATTCTTATCTAGGTTTTCCACTTAGTTTTTCGTCTTTTATAATTACTTTTTTCCCCTGCCCTCAAGACTGCAACAGATCCCTAATCCGGACCCTTAGCCAAAAAAGTTTGGACACCCCTCGTTCAGTTCATCAGTGCTTAAAATAAGCATTGGCAATGGTACACTGCTTGTCGCCCATCGAAGGAAAAACGAAAATCTGACAGAAGAGCCATTTATGAATGATATTAGTCAATTTCAATATGAAAGTATAGGGCACAATAATTAGCCATAACAAAGTAACAGCAAACACACCTGTGTGCTTGGATCATAGACTGCCTGCGTTCTCATTCCACGAGTGTTGGTTCCATGACTGAGCTCCGTCAGAGCAAAGCATCCTGCAGCCTAAAGGATTAAGAATTATTTGAATGACAACGAAAAGCTCGAAAAATACAAAATACGGTTATATTTCACAGGTATTCTAGCAGTTCCAAATAAAGAAACCAATAAACTTGGAGTTGAGCTCATAACCTGTAAAAAATTTAAAAGTGGAGAGCATGTCAAGATACTTTACCAAATTACTTGAAAACCAGATAGATACGTAAAAATACCTGTTGGACACTACAACAGAAAAAAATGTTAAACACTAAACATATAGGACATCAATAAAAAAAAAAAGGCAAGCTTCCATATTAATAATAATGTTAAGCTTTCTATTCCACTTGGTGCCAATCTCCATTAAAAACAGGCTGCATTGTGTTTATAAAAGTTTGCTAGTAAAATGCATTAGGTTGGGTTGTCCTCACCTCGAACTTGAGCATTTCTTCAAAGATTTGCATGTGGCGCTTTGTTCCAAGCCCCCTCACTGCTCCTATAAACATCTGTGGAGAAAATGATGCACTGGAGAAAATATTCACTCAGTTTAGCCTGATTAAGCATATAATTAAAGTGCAACATTTCCTTATAGTGAAGAAAGTTGTGTTACATAAACATTAATCTGGATCTGCATAAACCGCTTAATGACAAACACAGTGCCCAAATCTACAAAAATAAACTTGGTTTTGCTCTTTGATCTCAAATCAACTTTTGAGTGAATTATGCATATTAAACGGTCTTGCTTCTGCAGCTGCCATGTGAATTACTCTTAGCAAAATCTGAAGTCTGCTCTTGCACATACATTCATATTTACTACGATAAAGAAGTTTGACATACTGCTTCTCTCAAAAGACTAGCACAAAGTACCAAACATACACCCATGTCACAACAAACACCCACTCACTATTTCTGAAATTTTTTTAAACATTAGCAGAGGCCGTACCATGTCCCACACCAGATTTCTGAGCCCACCTAGCTAACCAGAATGCTCCTCCAGATCAGCCATTTCTCCAAGCACACCAGTGCAAAGTGATGAAGCTTGAGCATGAACACAGAACAATGAGGCTTTACACGTGTACACCAGTGAAGCTATTCATTCTCAGACCTAACATCCCCAGATTTTCAAGATTGTCTCCAAATTTTGGATAGCTGCTTGCTCAGTACTTTGTATCTAATGTACTGCACCCATTCTTTCACACATTTCATCTCTTCTGTTCATCCTACAGTCAGGGTCACTGTCACTATGTTCAACCATCGCCAGCATGTTTCAAATGTAGTCTGCAGCTATTGGGAAAGCCGAGCATGTCACCATCCACGACCTTCCATCGTGCACCACAAACATCGCTTTTGTGCCTGTTGGGGTTTATTATAACCCCCTCAACCGAACAAAAAGGCCTTCTTTCGTTTGCTGTTTATGATTTTTACAAATCTGTGTAGGAATGTGATAAACCTGCCAAGGTTCAAATCTGACCAGGCACAACTTTTTTTTAACATTGAACTGGACCAAAGTTTGACAGAAATTTGATCATTAACTGCATGTGCATAAACTAAAACTGACTAGGCACTGCAAGGCAGAGAAAGGATGCAGTATTTAAACAAACAAACTGAATTATTATAAGGTTACATGTTTGCTTTTACATTGTGTGAATATTGGTAAATGTTCTTTAAAATTTAAAACAAGCTGATTTTATAAATAATGTAAAAAAGACTGATTTTTTATACAAGTCGGGCTACAATGCTTTAAGAAGTGGAGCTTTGTCGAATTGTGACAAAAGTTAGAACGTTCCAAAAGACAGCCCTAAACCTGAGCACCCTTGCGTGATGAAGTATAGTTGTCGCAGAATACAGGGAGTTAATTAACACCCATACAGGGAGTTAAATTAACAAAACTGACAACAAGAAATAAAATCAAGAAATACACACATCGAAACAAAGAACTTTCTTGACAGCCAAGGACCAGTCGTAGGCACCGATACAATTGTTGCAGGCGGACGACAGGAAAGGATTCTGAAAGAACTCTTCCTGGGTGTAGAACTGGTACTCGAAGACACGCTTCATTCTCCGGAAGCACAGGTGGCGATGCTCCTCCAGGGTAATGTTGTCGTACGGTTGGCGCGCAAACAGGGGGTCATTCTCCAGTGTCTTGAAAACTTTTGCCTGAACACAAAGATAGGGGCGCAAATAATAGTTTTCTTTTAGATGAAGGCACCTTCATTTCCCATTGCCGCAACCCAGCTTCGCTCCAAGTTAGCTTCTTTCTTCCATTTATTATTCGGTTCCATATTTTCCCCGAAAACAAACGGTTAATAAGCTTTTGTTCAAATTTTCATTAATGGGTCTCAGCTAGGAGTGTTGTCTGGTGTATTGAGATGCAGTCACTATACTTTTTGGGTGACACTATGTAGGCTTAACTCCAAATACCAAAGAAGCGATGGTACAAAACACATACAGTGTAGTATAGCATTTTCTGATCACGTATTTATGTCCCATGTTTTGACACTCATCCGATGAAGCAACAAAATTAAGGAGCTCACAAGCAAAGTGAACTACACACCAAAATTTTAATGACCTCCTATACATCCAATCACCTCATGGGCAGTAACTTGCATGTCATTCACATTCATCATAATCGAGAATAAAATATGAGACTCCTCTATCTCCAAAATTCTCATGATCCCAGCCTAGGGTCACCAAACATCTATACAGCGCCGGGCTAAAACCCTCCAGCCCCCTAAATGCTTGGTGGCACAAGCATATCAGTCGGGATGAATAAAAATACAACTTCATAGTGTAAAAGGCTGTGTGCACCTCCACATATCCCAAAAGCACATCAGCTGGAGAGATGCAACATGGTGCACTCTCGTGGAAATCCTGGCAAAGGCCAGGCTCAATTACTTTCAACAATGTTATAAACACCCATTTCTCATAGACACATCTGACCTTGCAAATACTGCAAAACTTTCACTCTATTAAAATGCAGTTCCAGGCCCAGCTCATAGATGGTGCCGGCAAGCCAGTGTGTTCTATCGACATAAGAGATCAGAGCCTGGTCATAAGCAAATGCAAGTGTGTGAACCAGCCTCTAAGACAGCCCACAGAGAAGCAGGAGAGTCTTAAAGGAGTGTGATGCAATAAAACTTTGGTTGGGGCTAGTTGGTTCATATTGATTAAAAGGAAGTTGGCACCTGTCCGTGTCGTACGTGTCTCTTTTTTTTTTTTTCGTCCTGTTCGCGCTTTTTAACCTTTTAGCCTTAAAGGAGCTCTAGTTGAGACTGCCTTGGCAGCACCGACCCTGATAGGCTTTGGGCGATAACACGATTTGGCACTGCTGTCTGATGCTAACAAAGATATGTTCCTCCCTTTGTCCGTCTGCTAATACCAGTTTGCATAAGGATGTAATCAATATTTTCTGGCTCTTATCCAAAAGCCATTTTCTGTGAGGTAAAAAGAAAAAAAATTACAAATCAATATTTAGTTAAATGGTATGCCTATCTGATGCAATATAAAGCTTAGCAAAAACAATTTTCTTAACAAAAAGCTTTGTTTATTGTAAGATTTCACTTCATTACAGCTCCGAGCTAAAGAGCTGAAGGAATTTTGGCTTGAAAAAGGCTCTTGGTGATCTGTGCAACAACAGTCTTTAAAGGGATACTTCAACGAAAATTGAAATATTCCCGTCGTGTTCAAAAATAGGTTGAATATGATCCACAATATCCGTAAATAACAATCGCGTGTTCGTATTTTGAGCCTGGTGGCTGTATTTTTCGTTATAAACGGCCCACTTTGGCAAGCGCTCGGAGAAGGCCCAGCGGAGACCATGTGACATCTAACGCAATCGTGACGTAGGTCTACTCAGGACGAGCAAAGCTACGGCGAGGCTGACGTCGAGAGGATGGCCTAGTCGTTCCAGCCACTGAAGCGGCTGCTTTTGTACGAATTTTGAGTGACGGGTTAATCTTCTGTAATCTTCTAGGGGGACAATAGCGACTTCTGCGACAGACAAAAGGCATTCTCGGGAAGAGGGGAGTTCCTCCTGCCCCTCTTCTCTCATCGTGGCTGGAGGCGAGACAACCTCCGTCACTAGCTGTCAAGGTTCCTAGACGGGCATTACAAGCGAGGCATTAGCGACATCCACCAGGTGCTCTTTGCTAATCGTTTAATTCGTTTTAAAATTCCTTTTCGTGACTTTTTTAACAAGATATTGGTATGTTCGACGTGATGCTGCTCCTTTGAACACATATGGACCAAAAAATGAGCGCCGAAATTTCGTTGCAGTATCCCTTTAACAAGAATCATTCTGTTGTATTGACATCCTTCTGGCATGTCACAGTTTTTACAGACCTGGTTTAATTTGAAGGCATAAGGCTTGTTTACATAGTTGCATCAACTGCGTTGCGTTGTGCAGCACAGTGCCTCCATTTTGGCTTGTCATAAGGGTTGCCATAGCAACACTTTGATGCAAGCAGTCTTAATGCAGTCAAATGCAACTGTTTGACCGAGCTTTTATGCCTGTTCTTGTTATGTCTCTGTAGCGACCGAGTTTGCTTTGTTTCCCACTGTCCCTCCCACCATTATTATTTTTTGGTAATTTTTTTGCCCAGTGTCAATAAACGTTTGAAAGCAGCTGCGCTTTGAAAGCTAGCCTGGCCATCGTGGATGACAAACATTTTATTTGGGTGCCAGTCTGGAAACCACGGGTTTGCCTCAGCTGCTGATCTCTATGACAATTGCTGGGTCGCGCTTCCCCGCTAAGCAAATGCGGCCATCTTGCCACACAGAAAATTTACCTTTTGGAGTACAGCAAGGTTGGGCGGCAGTATGCTAAAGACACGTTTTCTGCTTGCTTGTCGTCATTCGACGAAGAAGTTTTTTAAAATCTCGTGCAAACGGTGACAACTGCCTTTGAGAACATGTATAAATTTTTATGAAAGCGCAGCGCCGTAGGAAAAAGGCACACCTCGTCAAACGCAAGTCTTGCTAATCTCGTGGCGTGATCAAAGCTTCCTTGACATGCCGAAGTGCTGCGTCTCTATGCTAGGGTTGGGCTAGCTTTTGGTGTTTTAGGAAAAATAGCAAATCATGCCAAAAATAGGGATGGGCTATCCTTTGGGGGTGGGGCATTTCTTGGAATATTACGGAAGGTGGCTCCCGCAAGAGCTCTCTACCTTTTAAGTGTTCGCGTACATAAGGCAAGAAAGTTTTAAGCCGGTTCACACATTTGCGTCGGTTTTGTCCACAACATTCAAAACGACCGCAACAATAAGGAGGACAACCGTGACTCATAATTGTGTCACGAAGCTGCTACTTGTATTGCTTCGACTTGTCCCGCTGACTTTGTCGCTGCTGTTGTTTCGGTCGCTCTGACGCAACCAAGGTTAACTATCTCAACCAGGTATTAATGTTAAATAACTGCACGGTTAGTACAAATGGGCTCCTCTAGATGTCTCCGTAACCTTGGACATGCTCCGTTGATCTCCATCGACGAGGCATGCATGCGTTTTTTTTCCTCCTTTAAGCAATTGTAGAATAGGATGACAGTCATTATGCATTTAATGAGTTGGCAAGGTTACACAACAGCATCGAATTGCGAAAGCCTGCGAAAGAATGAGGAAATAGCAGGCTTGTGAAAGCCTGCCAACGAGATTTCAAACACGTAATCAGAAACGCTCCACTGCATACGACAGTAATTATGAACCTTTCGTAGAACGTAAGCTGCGGATTTTGGGACCTGCGGGCGCGTGCTGAATCCGTGATGAACACGACAGAACGAGCTCCCGCTACCAAAGCAAAGCTCTTGCATACTATCTACAGAAAGTGTCCAATACGAAACGGATGTAGTAGACACTAATTTTCACTTACCAAACTTTTTTTTTTTTTTTTTTGCATTATTGAGTGGTTAGCACGGCGCACGGCTGGGTGTATATTGATATATGCGCGTTCGTAGAAAAGATAACAAAACTGACACGCTTGTGACGTTTTCAGCGAAGTTATTCTACGGGTAAACACGATCGGCTGTTAACCATTTGAGAGTCTACGCGAGAAACAGGCGGAAAGTGCGACATAAGGTCAATCTCCGACATCAGCAGGTCATTCGCCTCAACAAGCGTCGAATATTGTTGACGAGTATATGCCCGACCCTGGAGCGGCGTGATAACCACTTGATCATCCAGACCAGAGAAGATTGCGTCTTACCTTGAAGCGTATGATATCTTCGCCTTCTATGGCGACTTTCATCTTTCGCCAGTCGAACGAGGCCAGGTGCCTGTATTTATCCAGCGGCCCAGGTGGGAACGAGGGCATGTAGTCGTCCACGGACGCGGAATGCGCACGTCCTTCTTCTGTCAGCGACATGGTGAATGGTGATGGTGCCTTTCACTATTGATATGTGGTCCGCAGCCGATTTTATACGACGATGAATTGAACCATCGCTTGCGTGCACTATTGCCAAGAACTCGTTTCTTACACAACGGCGCTCAAACGGCTACTTTCCTCGCCAGACGACTCGAGACGAGCAGAGCGACACGCGAGCAGCAGACCACAAGAAGACACATTAAACATTCTTATGACAGAGCACAGACAACTTCAGAAGTCACGATGACAACGAGGTAGCACATTGCTACAAGCAGAGCCCTGCTGTCATTCTAGCATGCTAAACAAGAAAATTACAAACTTTTAATGAATTTTTAGTTTTTTTAATAAAGATTTAATAATATTAATTGTCTATTATTTCCCGTCTGTATTTTTTATTGGCTAGCTTCTGTGGGACGGATTGATCCAAGCCTATCACACAATAAGCCAGAAGATAAAATTACAAATCACCTAAAAATCGCGGCAAACCTGTGAAGCGCGAAGCTGTGAATTACCGCTCAAAAAGACAAAGAAACAGAAGCTGACAGCTGTCCCCTACTTATTCTCCTTCAGCTGCAAAATGAGCATGACGGTACGTGATTTTTACAACTTGTTAATACGCTGTACAGCGCCAAGGAGAAGTTTCGGAATGGGGGATCAAAAGCACCAGCGTTCCAGCCCGCTTTGTTGTCTGCCTTCCATTTTCTTCATGGGGGAGACTATTTTGCCTGCAGCCGGCAAAATAGCCTGGGGAAAAAAATGCTGGCAGTTTCGGACGGCGCGTGTATCACTGGGGAGCTCGTTAACAGATCCCCCCGCCTGCGTTCACGGCGCTTCGCGGCGACAGTCTGCGGCTGCCCATTAGAAAAATATTGACCCTACCAGTACACGCCGCTTCGCGGCGGCCCGCTGGCGGCCCAAGCCCCGCTGTCCACCATTCACCCCCGGAAAGGGAGTCCATAGCGAAGTTTCGTCGACAACATTCGTTTTATTTATTTACTATTTTTTTTTTTTTTTCAGTGTTAATCCTAAAACAGAAGATATGTCGTAAATGTCGCCAAATGCCTCTACAAAACAAAACACAAAAAAAAAAAAAAGGGCACGGTGGATCGAACCACGGTCCTGCTGCGTACGAAGCAAGCACCTTATCACTGAGCTACTCTGCACTTTTTTTTTTTCTTTAATAAATGGAAATTCACTAATAGTATTCAGCCAAGTCCAGCAGTACACACACAAACAACACAGAAGGTCCAAAAGTCACAGTCCACCTCACACAACGTGGCACATAGAGTCTCAACCACACATGGCTAACCAATGGAGCACAGGCACAGGCCACCAGTCACCAGAATCTCACACACGCGCTTGTGAATCACGTGGGGCGACAAACACATCTTTAGTAGTTCTGTACAAAGTAAAAGGTTACATTGGCTAGAATTTACCATTCACCCTACGCATAAACAGCGATATTTACATATTTACACAATCTAAAAGTGCGGTAGGTTTAAGCACGCATCAAAGAGGCTAAACCAATCTGGCACCGGTGGGCGGGCCTCGTACACACTCCGCACTTTCGCTACCTCTTCAATGAAAAGCGATCTGGTCGTACGGGGCTGTTCGGCAATTTTGTCGATCATCCGGCACTTCCACAAACTATGGAGCCCAAGAAGCATAAATAAATCATAAGGGACAACTCCATGTTTTTCAACGGGGAGAAATCGTATACTGTGTTCTGTGAAGTCGATATCCTTTTTCAGTGTTCGTTGGAGAACGTCCCAAAAATACACTGCGTCATTACAGTATATGAAGCAGTGTTCAATGGTTTCCGGTTTGTTGCATAATCGACAGTTAATAGACCATGGAACGAAAAACCCTCTTTCCTGTAGCCACGCTTGAACCGGAAGTGTGGAAGTGTGTAACTGAAAGAAAAATGTTTTTGCAGTAGGCGATACACACATCTTTTTAACTCTTTTTAAACCATCCTGTCCAGGGCTGTCATTAAACCTTGATATATAAATCGGTAGTGTGAAAAAATTTTCAACTAAGGCCTGAGACAAACATTTTCTAGAAACACTAAACAAGTATTCCAAAGAAAACCGGACATTTAAAAACAACAGCGTGTCTACAACTTCTTTCCAAAATCCTCTTAGAACACACGAAACATCATCCGTCGTTGAAACTATCAAAAAGGGCAAATGCGGCGCAAGCTTCGTCTGAACTAGCGAGGCCAGTAGCGGATGTCTGATATTCCTAAAGAAAAATAATCTAGATACAAGTTGACGGACAAATAAGTGGGCAAGACCCAACCCTCCACACTCAAGGGGGAGGAATAAATTGTCTCGCCTCATCCGTTCCCACGAGGAACTCCAAATGAAAGTCGCGAAAAGTCGATGGAACGCTTGTATACGTGGGCGGGCACAGTGGAGGACTTGTAACACATACATAAGTTTAGACGCAAGGAAAATATTGCACACGGCAGCCTTAGTAAAAATGGAAAGGTTTCGCACCCTCCAGGCATCTATTTTCCGTTTAATGTTTGTGGCAACTGACGTCCAATATAGCCCACTGTTCCTGGCCTGATCTAGGGGTACGCCAAGGTATTTTATTGATGGCTTATTCCAGTGGATCCCTGCAAATTTGGATGGTGTTGTTCCCTACATGCCTAGCCAAAATCCGCTGGACTTATCATTATTGACCGACACACTGGTGACTGCGCAAAATTTCTGCGTTACGCGTAGAGCTTCTTCTATACTGTCTTTGTCGGCACAAAAAAAGGCAACGTCGTCGGCATAAGCCAACAACTTCACTTCGGAGAAACAATATTGGTACCCACAATTATTGAGGTTTGTCAGCATGCTCAGGCAAAGCAGTTCCAAGTATAAGGCAAATAGAAGAGGAGATAGAGGACATCCTTGTCTTACTGAAGACCTAATAGCAATCGGATCAAAGAGAGTGTTATTTATTTTATTTATTTATTTCAGTACCTTCAAGGCCCAGGGGGCGTTACAGAAGGGAGTGGTGGAAAACATAAAAACAAACAACAGGTAGTAAATACAGAAATTGAAACAGAGAATGAAAAATGCAGACAACGCCGGTTATTAAGAAAGTACATAACACTCAATGGCGGATCTGAAAGTGAAATCGTCGGTAATCATTGCGATGGAGGCGGGCTCACCAGGATCATATTAACTATGATCCTGGTGAGCAGTCCTTGTAACATAATTTAACGCCGGGGGAGGGTGGTGTCCGATATTATAGTGGGCAAGGACTTGAAACAAAAATGAATGGCTGACTCTATCAAAGGCCTTTGAAAGATCGGTTTGTACTAATGCAACTTGGTCATTGCCTTCAGTCACACAGTCGAGTACAGACCTGGCAATGTGCACATTAGTCTGAATAGTTCTCTCCCATATTCCACAAGTCTGGTGTTCTCCAATTAAGTTGCGAGCTACCACGTGAATTCTTTCGGTGAGTAATTTGGCAAATGTTTTGTAGTCAACGTTACATAATGATATTGGTCTGTAGCCTGCAGCTTTTCTCAACACTGCTTCGTCTTTGCTCTTTGGTATTAAGACAGTATGACCTTGGTAAAAGGTAGGCGGAAGCATTTCTTCTTTATATCCGACGCGGAATACGTCAAGCAGCACTGGAGCTAATAAGTCAATAAATGTTTTATAGAACTCTGCACCCAGACCATCAGGACCAGGTGTCTTGTTTGCAGGTAGTGCGTTTATGGCATTTCGCACTTCTAATGTTAGTTCACCGTCTATCATAGTTCTTTCTTCCTCTGATGAGACTGGTAAAAGTGAAAGCAACTCTTCTGCGCCTGTCTCGTCTCCTGCTGATATTATTTTACCGAAGAGGTTGTTGTAATGTTCAAGAAAGACGTCCAAGATGCCGGGGGTATCAGACACGGAAGTGCCCTCGTAGTCAATCGCTAGGATTTGTTTTGATAGCGCGTACTGTCTTTCGTCATTTAAAGATCACCCTGAAGGGGGTTCCTTTAGCAGAAACCTCTCCCATCGCGAACGAATGACTGCTCCTCTGTACTTCTCTGCATCATATCGCTGTAGCTGTGCTTTGATTATATTAATGTCCTCTGTGTAAGTTCCTGGACGCAAAGATTCGAGCTCATATAATGTAGTAAGTGTGTTAAGTAGTATTCGTCGGTCTTCCTTTCGTTCAAACGCAAGAAGACTAGAATACTCTATAGCCCAGTTCTTTACGTCTTGTTTAAACATATCCCACTTAGCAAAGATGGAAAGCATCGGGAGACATAGCACAGATGAGAGAATATCGGGAATGCGAATAGAGAAACGTTTCTCTGATAAGAGTGTGACATTAAATTTCCAAAGTTTCCATTGGGGGCGAAAAGATGACAGTTTTCTCTTTCCAATACATGTTGACACCAGACAGTGATCAGAAAAGAAAATAGGTTTTACATTATAATCACTAATTTTAGCGAATAATTCTTCGCGAACGTAAATTCTGTCAAGGCGAGCATGTGCTGAATTTTGAAAGTGTGTGTAATGCAAGTCTCCATTTTTGTGGTCACCAATGTCTACAAGATTGTTGTCTGCAACGATTAATCCCAGCACAGTTGCGCTTCAATCATACCTTGACGTTGGCTGCGAACGATCTCGGATATTGCATACACAGTTGAAATCTCCAAAAAGATTAATATTCCTGTCTGTTACCAAATGGTGAGATACGAAAAAAAAAAAAGACATTCCTAGCCGATACTGTATTAGGTGCATACACAAACATAAACCGCCAATCCTCGCCGTCATACTTTAAGCCACAGGAAATGAAGCGCCCCCTCTGATCGATGGTCAGGGAAATGGAGGAAAAGTCTCTAGCTTTCTTCAAGAACAGAAAGCATCCTGCTGAGGTGCCGCAAGCATGGCTTACACAAATTTCAAGATCAGCCAGGAAAGATTCCAAGGCAACATCGGTCTCATGTTCTTCTGAAAGCTTAGTTTCCTGTACAGCAAGGATGTCTACCTGTTGGTGGTGTAAAAGCTGGAGAAGTTGATGCTGTTTTCTTTTAGACTTTAAACCTCTAATATTTAGGGTGGCCACTCGAAGTGGAAGGACGCTACTCATGACAGTCTATGGTTGGGGATGGTCGGTCAGAGGGATGCTTTTAAACGGTGTGGAACCTGTTCCATGCTTGGTGTAAGGCTTTTGGCGCTTGCCTACCTGCTTTCGATCAAAGAGCTTTGATCGAGCAAATGAGCCGTCACCAGGCGTGTCGTCCTTGCGTGGTTCCTGGTGAACCAGGCTCTGGGATGGTATTTCCTGCACGTCGTTTTCTTCAGGTGCAGTCAAAGTTGGTTTTTCAACGGTCGTGTCACAAGAGGCGTTGTCGGTCGTGTCATGAGTTGTGCTGTGGGTCGTGGGTAGGGTGCTTTCGTCTACGGGTACCTGAGGCAGGGGCGGAAAGTCAGGTGACACTTCGCACGTCGTGGAGGAACCCGAGCGCACCAACACGCCAGGGGTAGGTGGAACCTTTTGGCCAGACTCTTCTTGTGTTTCTACTTCAGGCTCAGGAGGTGACTGGTCAGTAGCTGGTTTGCCCTCATAATCAGCAGG